GTGCTAGACTTTGTAGACTCCCCTTTCTGAAGGAGTGGATGGGGGATGATGTGTTGGGCGTGGGAGGTGGAGGGAGCAGGAGGAGAGGAGGGAGTGGGAACTGGGATTGGTATGTAGAATGGGAAAAGACAGTTTTTTTAAAAAAAAATAAGAAAAAATGCAAAAATAAGTGCATACATTTATGAGCTATCAAAATACTATATAAATAAATTTTAATTAAAAAAAATAGGACGATTTGGTTGCTTCTCAGAGTCCTTACCTAGTTGTCAAGGGTTTTCCACTATTATTAGCCAAAATAATTTTAGTAAAATCCAAGTGTAAAATTCTTAGAACTGGGAGTACAAAATAAAACACACAAGAAGATAATTAGCAACCAACCAGATGACTTGTATTTTACCAATAACTGTGGAAATACTGATCCATGAAAATTGAGTCTATGTAAGACACTTTGATTATCGCTCATTAAGTATGCTGTCTTATTTACTTTTCCTGTTACCATGATAAAAAAAAAATCCTGACCAAAAAAACCAAAACTAAAATAACAACAACAACAAAAATGTGAGGGAGAGAAGGTTTATTTGAACTTCCACTTCAAAGATACAGGTCACTGTGGTGGAGAAGTCCTGGTGACATAGCCTGGGGCAGCTTGTCACACTGAATCCACAGCTAAGAAGCAAAGAGAATGATGAATTCCTAGGCTCGGGTCTCTTTATCCTTGCTCTGTAGTTCAAGATCTCAGCCTACAGAGTGGTGCTGCCCATAGTGGAGGGATCTTCCCACCTCAAAGAATCCAATCAAAATATCCCCCCAAGCATGCCCAGAGGGTCATCTCTTTTGACTCTAGATTTCATCCAGTAGACAACTGAGATTAATCATCACATTCTTTCTGCCTAAGAGAACAGAGAGCAGGTACTACCGTAGCTTGAGCCTTTGCACCCACACCAATTTGCTGTATTATAATATTAATGCCAATGATGACCTTTAAGATAGCAGAATAGCTTCAGTTTTGGGATAGTGTTTGAGGTTCTTGTGTTGGAGAGAGCTGAGCCTACCAACACACACCTCAGAAGTTGGGTTACCTCACTTTGTTTCCCATATATAAGCTTTCCTTGTGTGGTCTCTTTGTCTGTGTATACTCTAACTTTAAAGCCAATATTTCATGTCCATTGAGAGTTACTGTTTGTGATGTATTTTCTTAAAGAATGTGACAGTGTGCTCAGTAGCTCATTTATGTCATGATTGGTATATAGCATTTATTTACTCTTTGTTCGTCTATTGCTTGTATCAGACCTTCCCACATGTATTATAAAAAGGAAATAGTTGAGTTTTATCTTATTTGAGCTTCAGCTTCTGGTGAAAATTTTCAAGTGCTTTTTCTTTTTGCTTCTTTTCTGTGGTCTTGTTTTCAGCTAGGAAATGAACCTTGTTTATTCTGAATAATATACACTTACTATATTAAATAGAACCTAGTTGCTGTGTTTACCGTTTTAAACATTTCATCTTGTGCTTAAACTAAATCTTTAGGCACATTAATTCCCACCCTGAAGTCTGTGAAATAACATTTATTTTTCAATGCTGAGGACTGAATTCAGGTCCTCATGCCTGCTAGGTGAGTTCACTACTTAGCGACTTGTTGCTGAAATAACATTTTTAAAAATACGGCTTTTGGTGTGGTTTTGAAAGCTGAAACAAACACAATAACACAATTTAAGCTAAATAAACAAATAAATAGATAGATAGATAAAACACAGACAGACTATAAAGCTTATTTTACCACTGAACACACACAGGCTCTCCATTTGCCCTTCTGTAATTTAAATAATATAATGAGTACTCAGAGACACCAAACAATATATTTTTGTCAGATTTTATTGCATACAGATGACAATTATCAGATTACTTTGGAATGGCCATTTAGGGCCTTCTGACATGTCCCTTTAAATTTTCTGTAAGTGGCTCCAGATATATTTGCTTTCCTTGATTTTACAGGATCCTAGGGGAACAGCCTGTTCTCTCTCATCACAAAGAGAGAGCCCAGGAAAGGGGCAGGGTTTCCCCCTCACAGGTGATGGAGTTGTATAAAGAATGCAGCAGATAATGGCTGGCTTGTCCTCTGAACAGATGGTGATGGTCTTGTTGCTAGGAGAAGGCCTCAAGAATTTAGTTTTTTAATTCCACATTATTTGCCTCAGTGCCATGAATATCCCTTGGTTTCCTGAGGCAAAACACAAAAACTACACACAAGGCGCGACACAGAAAGTGAGGGGAGAGAGAGCAAGAGGGCCCAGCGTGACAAGGGAGCGGCGTGGAGGCACAGTGAGAGAGGCTTCATGGAAAATGCAGTCTCAGCTGTGGGCAATCACCTGGGTTTAAATGGTAGGAAGGAAGGAAGACTGGTTGGCAGGAGAGCTGGGCCTTTGATGCCTTCTGCAACACAGAGAAAAATGCCCGTTCTTCCCATTAGTCCGTTGGCTTTCCTAATTAAGATAAACATGTTTCTGAAGGAGTTAACTTTTGTGCCATGCCATTTATAAAAACAACTATATATACGGAGAAGAATGTTGGCCAAGAATTTGGACTGCTCGTGATTGTACGAACCATTTCAGAGAAATATTTTGAAACAGTTACTTTATTTTGAAGGCAGTGATTTTTCCTTCCCTTCACTCAATTAAATATCTAATTTCAGCGCTAGAGGATGATAACCAGAGTTCTTAAAAAGTAAGCAAATGGTTAGGAAATGGTAACCATGCCTCTGGAGCATGAAAAACGCACCCCACTAAGAGCTTTATTCTTTCATTATTGATTAACTTCCGAAAACACCCACTCATGAAATTTTCAGTAAAATACTGTTATTTTTGATTTCTTTTATTGAGCAGTAGAGGCATATTCGTGACTACACGAGTGTGGAGGACCTGGAGAGCAGGGAGCTCAGTGTTAAGAGGGTGCGGCTTTGTCAGAACAGGACTGTCTTGGAGCACTGTCACCTAGCTGGACTAGCCACTTCCTTCAAACCGTCAAAGGCAGTGTGGCTTGATCCTACATAGACTGCCATTACTCACGTGCTTTGGAATTACCTGGATGTGGTTGTAGCAGTCGGGAATTGACTGCCTGATTTTTATGAATTATGTGAGGGCGTTTCCTCAAGTCTTAGAGTTAAACTGTGCTTCAACATGAAGAGCTGGTGAGTGTTTCCTGCGCCCTGCATTTTGCTTCAGAAAACAAAACAAAACAAAAGTAAGGGACCCGGCAATGTGGTGAATTCTACCCCAGTCAGCCACAAGTGTCATTTGTAATGCTGGGGTCAGAGCTGTCCCTAAAACCCAGATTTTTATAGGATAGCAGTATAAATCATGTGCTGCAACTGCGATAGGAAAGCTGTCAATCACACACAAGTTTTATATTCCTTGCTTGGGAGGGAAATGATGACACAGGTTTTGTTTTAGTTTCGGTTCTTTTCCCTTTACACCTCTTCAACCTTCGCATCTGTGACCCATCTCAGTTCGTCTCTTAACACACCAAACAGTAGTTTATGGTACTTGCTTTTGAAAGGATCCAAAGTTGTATTTCTAAAAATGACTATCCGCATCAATATTACCTGTTTGGTCTTATACTTCCTCTGGGCTCTTAAGTAAACTATTAGCATAGTCTGAGTGATTTAATTGAAGGCAAGGTGTTAATGACATATTAATGACTTCTTAGATAATATGTTTGCTTTCTGGTAAAGATTTTTAATGATGCGAAAAAATAATGACTAGTGATTAGAATTCTGAGTGCTACCAGAGAAACGGCTGTAAGAACGTGGAGGGCAGCAGACAGAGAGCCGGCAGGGACCCTCCCCCACAATTCTTAGCATGCACTGTGTAGATGGCTGTCTTCCTCTTCAGTATCTGACCAGCCACGTTTCAACAGTTTTGCCATAGTCAACTGTATGTGTCTCAAGATGTGACACACACCATAATCTGGCTCTTTAATCCTACAAAAGCATGGTACAAATTGTGTCTTCCAAAAAAGTAGACTTCATTTAAATAAGCAATTGTCTTAGACATGTCCAATTGATAAAGTATTCATTTTGCCAAACTTGCATCTAAAATTACTTTTAGACTTATTTGTATGAAGGTAAATTCTCTTTCATCCTTAAAATAAATTTACTTCAAGTTTTAGATTACAGTATCAGACCTTAACAGAACACACATTATTAAACATTTTGCATTCACCAAAAAATATTGCAATGAATATGACCTGGTTGAAAGAATTTGGTATATTCTCTACTTTTTACTATTATTTTTAATTTTAATAAATGATGAAGCAAATAGTTGATTTTTTTCCTATGGTAAAATTTATATCATTAAGAAAAACAAGGTTCAATTCCTATCCTAAACAAGACCACAGAAAAGAAGCAAATGTCTATAGAAAAGCACTTGAAAATTTCTACCAAAAACTGAAGCTAAAATAAGATGCATCTTTATTATTTCCTTCTTAAAAGTATATATGGGAGTGGTTCTGCTGGACTAAATTAAGAAATAATACGTTTATAAATAATTACATACTTTTATACACAGAAAAAAAATACTTTAAATATTTTCACCTAAAACAAAATAAAGAAATATTCCTTAAATTTTAAGTAGTTTTTATTTAGGGATAAATGATCTCACTTTCTGTTGTTTTTAGTATTTTGGGTGTAAGTGTACATCTGTACATGGTGTGCACATAGACAGACTGCCTTAAAAGAAAAAGACCTGTCTCATTTTTGTTTTACTAGATTTCAGTGATGTCCTATTGCTAAAAAGGATGTGAGGCCTGCTGAGTGTGGTTTAAACACCCTCTTCTTTCTCACGTGGAGAGGCCATGGGGATAGCAAACTATGAGATGCTGGTTTTTGAGTCCTTGCACTTAACACTTTCATGATTTCAATGACCACTAAGTCAATTTTGGAACCAAAGAAACCTGCGAGGTCATGGCTGGAGTTTTAGAATCCTAGGGGGCTGCTGGGTTACACTTACTTTTGCCTGAGATATTTCCATTGGTTAAGCTCCTTGGTGAGCAGTCAGTGAAGGTTCTGTAGCAATATCTGGGGAAATAGAAGGTAGTTAGAGCTAGAGAACCAAAATCATACAGTTCAAAAAAGTCTATGCTTTAACCTATTTAGTTTCTTGGCTTTTAAACATAATATATATATATGTATATTTTCTGATCTAGCCTAGAAAATGTGTGATGTGGAGAGAAATACACTTGTGTTATTGCATGACTTGCTATAAGACACTTCATGGAGTCTGGGCATTTACAGCAAAGTTCGGTTACTGTTGCGTCTTGCTTGGGGTATCAGTCACAACAGAAGGAATAAAAAGTCTGAAGCCTTGGCCTGCTCTACTTTAGTGAAGGTGTTACCAATCTGTCTAAATTTTATTAAGAAGATTGTACTGTTTATTATGTGTTTATTCTCTCTTCTCTCTGTGCTTGCCTCACCTCTCTGTGTGTGTATGTGTACGCACATGTGCATGCATGCATGTATCTGCACTTGCACGTACGTGTACACACGAACGTCTGTGAACATGTTCAGCTGTATGTGTGGGTATGTGTACATGTGTCAGAGAACAACCTTGTGTATCGCAGGATGTACCATTTACCTTGTCACTTGAAATGGGGTTTCTCATTAACTAGGGTTTTGTCAATTAGACTAACCCCTCCACCCCCCACCCATCTTTATCTCCTTAGAACTGGGATTGTAGGCCTGTTTCAACATGCCTGATTTTTCATCAACATGGGTTCTGGGGGATTGGAGTCAATACTGTGTGTTTGTATATCAGGCACTTTCCCAACTAAGCCCTTACCCAGGTTTTACTGTTCTTCCTTAAAGGAGAACCACTGTATATGGATTTTATAGAGACTCTTAAACAACAAGTCCAATGTACAAAGGAAATATTTTATCACTGTTTATTTGATAACAGACTAACATCGTTTAATGAAAGGCCTATAAGTTTGTGTACAAAACTGAAAAGTATAGGAAAATTTTGTATTGTGATCTCTAAAGATCTTAGCACTCATATTGTGTAAAGAATAAAGTCAGCGTTTGCCGGATAAAATAACTGATTGAGACAACAGTTAGTATGGAGTACATAATTGCAGCCTATCTTTCAGGGGTAAAACAGGGAGTTAATTTAGGAGAATTACTAGGGAGGATTTGAGATGAAAATAAAGGTGGCAAGGCAGATTAAAAAAGTTAGCATTCTACCTTAGAACAAAATTCTGCTTTGCAGGAGATGGAGGGATAGAATGAGAGAAGTGGAAGAAAATAACATGTTGTCTACAGAATCTGCAGCTTGCTGACTTAGGTAGGACTTGAAAGTTATTCAAAGATAATTTGCACCTAATCAAACTTTTGAAGCTATGAATATGTAGGGTGTCTACTGTGTATTTGAAACTACTCTCTGACATTGGGAAAAAGCAAGGCCGTTTTCAGATTGCTTAGCCAATCTGGCAGTTGAAAGGGGACACTGGCAATTCTGCTCGACACCATAGGCAACGCACCATACCGATGTGTTACCCCACCTCTGCTCTTCGCACAGTGAAGATAACAGGGAGGGAGTCACCTGTCACCCTTTATCTTGTGTTGTTTTTTTTTTCTCAGTCCAGAAAGGAGAGCTAACTGCACTGCATGGGGAAAAAAACCACATTCGTATATTCTATGTATAAAAAATAAGATATTTCATAGTTAAGATAATAAGTTATTTTGTTTTGTTTCTGTAGAGTACTCTTTATTGTATTCCCTTTGTGGTCTACTTCAACAAGTTATCTTGCTTTTGTACTTTGTGATCAGTACTATATTTTCAAGGTTGAGAGAAAAGACATGCACGCGTGCGCACGCACGCACACACACACTCACACACACTCACGCTCACACTCCTTCAAGAAGAACATACTTACAGTTCTGAAAGTTTATTCCAGGATCATGAAGATCTGGTTTACTCCAGTAAGAGCTGGCCTTGCTCGGCAGTATTTCTCTAAATCTTAGATTTTGCCATGAAGGTTGGTAAATTTCAGCGATACTCAAAGGAATTTTTCACACGTGTTGATCTTGGTAGAGAGCAAAGGAGGACTGGAGTAAGAAAGAATTAAACTTAGTACAGAGTTATTTGCCAGGTAGTCTTAAGTTTTTAATGTTTTCTTCTAAAAAATAGTACTTTTTAAAAAAGAATTATCCAAAAATCAATACGACGATCCTGGATTAACACATAGGAAAGCAAATGCTGAAGAATGAATCTGCTGATGCTCACAAATGACAGGGACACATTCATCTTCCTCTCTGTTTCACCGCCATTTTCTCAGTTCCTCACAGGAGCTGGATTGTCGCAAATGCTCATTCATATCATTTTGGTTGTCAATAAGTATGAGTACAAAGCTTTTTTTTCTTCTCTCTTATTATTATCATATTCAAATCATGAAAAACGTATTTGCAGTTACCAAATTATGTTGGGGGTGGCTGTTCATTATTGAGTTGGCTCTTTTGAGTTTGCAGTGCACTTCAGTTAACCAGTAGGGTTCTGGGGATAACACAAAGGCAATCTTTATTAGAAAGTTGGTGGAATCTCCAGCAAGTAGTTGTCTCTGTAACTAAGATACAAAAATTATTTCATCTGTCAAAATAAACCACCTTCCAAACGCAGCCTACCTCAGCACCACAGGATCCGTAGGATCTGCTTGGCAGGTAAGGAATTCTCTTGGCATCTGCTTTGACCTATATATTTCTCATGTGTCCCCCATCCCCCCATGCCCATATAATTGGATATTGGTCAACACAAGGGGCAGCTCTCCCTAAGCCCTATAGAGAGAAATAAGAATACCCAGTTGTCAATTACTTCTTAGAATATCTATCTATCTATCCATCTATCTATCTATCTATCTATCTATCTATCTATCTATCTATTTATCTATCATCTATCTATATTCTTTGGATTTTTTCTCTTATCCATATTTCTTCCAGATATAGACCATATCTAAATTACTATTGGTTACCAGCCTCTAACACATGAATTATTGGCTTTCTCTCTTTCCCTGTAGATTTGTTGGCTTGGGCTACCATAACAAAATACCATAGACAGGACAACTTAAGCCACAGAATTATTTTGTCCTAGTTTTGAATACCAGATATCTGATCTCAAGAAGGCAGCAGGTTTGGTTCTTCCTATGATTTTTGTCCTGGCTTACAGCTGTACCTCTCTTACTGTAGGCTCACCTGGTTGCCCATTGGCCTGGTTTTCTGTGGCCCGGCCTCTCTATATTGATTAGTGCTCAACTTATTTACTCATTTCACCTTAATTACTCCTTTTAGGGCACAACTGCATTATGGGGTACTCGTGCTAAGGGCTTCAACATGAATTTTAGAAAGAGATGGTTTAGTTATTTTTTCTAACATAATAGTAACCACAGTGTTTCTAGGAGTGCACATTCAGCCCCTATGTGAAAAAATGAGAGTGGAGGAACCAGTACTTTTTCCCATAAGTTATCATCCATAAGTATGTAACCTGTAAATATTTCAGAAGGTGGTTAATAGCTGTGTTTTCTACAAGTGCTCCTCTGAACATTTCTGAACATTCTCTCTTTTAAAACTTTCAGCTCTATAATATTTTGTGTCTACAAATAACCTGAAAACTTTTCATGATATGATTATTACATTTCAGAGTGTCACAACTTTAAGACAAAGCTATATTCTAGATTGGGTGCTCTTTGAAGGATATGTTACATCTCACTTCTAAAATTGTTTCAGTATGACTGGTTTGAGTATTGCCCTACAAATTTGCTCATTGACTTGGGGTTATTCTCTAAGAGGTAAACTTTGCTTTGGTTTGTTTTTAAGTGTATTTTTTAACCTTACCTAATTAATGTGGTAATTAGTGTTCTGAGGTATATTGTTACTATATAAAATCTTGGAATATGGTATATTGGTTGGTTTGCTGAAATAAAGAAGACAAAAATTGGGAATGGAAAACTTACTGGGTATCTATATCATGTAGTGATATTCATTTGGTAAAATTACATATAACAACCTGAAACGCAAATACACCAAGCCTGCCAGTTTAGAGAAAACCTTTAGAGACAGCCAGAATATTTGAATGTCTTTTCATTGCATGTAGCAAGAGAGCAAGAGGAGAATCACAAAGACGACTAGGCTGATTTCTAAGTGTCACTAATGATGCAATATACTGATTCCATACTCTGAAACCTCAGTAAGAAGACTGAAAAAAACCCACCCTTGGCCTTCCAAGTTTCAGTAATACTTTCCATTGGTGAAATTGACTCAGTATAATTGAAATGATAACACTGAAGGTGTAGTGTTCTTTAATGACGAGGAGAGGTGTTCAGAGGCCTTCCTCCTGATAAAACTTTTGAAATAAGTCAAAACTAAACAAAAACTAACCCAAGATCTGTGGAAACAGTTCTATAGATATAGTGCAAATTAAGAAGTATTTTTCTCAAAACCAGTGGCGTTCTGACAAAGAGCAGGCAAATCTGTGATATGTAAGCCAAGAACTGCAACCTCCCCATTCCCCTCTGCTCCACTCAGGACTGGGGTAGGCTTGAACCCCGACTTCTTCCCTTTTTCTCTTCCAGAGAAGTGCAGACAGGGAGTTATTTTCCATGCTGCTGGAGCAACTTTCTTTGAGGCTGCATTCTGCACAGCTGTGCCTAAGACATTCTTCTGTGCAGCTCCCAATGACGTCATAGAGCTCCACCTGTGACATGGCACTGTCAAAAACTCTTGAGTTCTGGCTCCACCAGTCTAGTCCAAACAGAGAGTTCCCCACAGAGATCATTGTGTTTAGCTCAGTCTATGACTTTACATCAAATAATGCTTATTTTACATTAGTTAGTTAGACTGATATTTACATTACTAATAGTTACATTAGTTAGGTACTAACTATATTTGGTGCATATATGTTTAGAACTGAAACATTTCTTATTGGATTAGAATAGAACATTTTTTAACTTGTAAAAGGACATCTATAAGAGTTGCAATGCTACAAAATAAGCACTTTTACCTGCTAAGCTATCTGTCCAATCTTCAAAATGAACTTGAAGGCATCAAGTATTAACTTATTAATCAAAACTTAATATATCCTTGAAAAGACACACCAAGTATAGCGAAGACATTGTGGTACTGGTATTAGAATCTGCACATAGAGCTACAAACTTCAGCTAAGTATTCAGAAATAAATACATTTCAGTTGTTTACTTGTCAAGTCAATTCAACAAAGAAAAAAATTGTTTTCCGAATATTATCCTGTGATAACTAGATATCTCTGTGAAAAACAAATTATATGCTGATTTCACAGGGTATCAGAAAACCAAAGCCTTATCAAGTGTCCAAACACAAGTTTTAAAACTATCAAACACTTAGAAGAAAGCATGGGCATAAATGATTAAGACCTTACATTTGACAATGACTTCTCAGATATGGTTCCAAAAGGATGAGCAACAGAGAAAAACAATATGTAAATTTGATATAAAACTGACTTTCAAGGAAATAAAAAGATAACCCATAGTGTGAAAATATTGTTTATCTAGTTAGGATATTGAATCTAGAATAATACAGAAGTCTCACCAAAAATAAAATAAAATAAAAATAAAAAAATCAATTTTTAAAAATATTCAAATAAATGGAATAATCAGTAAAAGTAATATATGAATAAATAAACATACATTTATTCTTATTAGTCTTCAGAGAAGTATTAATCAACAATTACAAAATGGTGCTAATTCATTCCCAACTAGGGTGGCCACAATCAAAATGTCAGATTATCCACAATCTGAAAGAGCTGTTCCATAAGACTATCTTCCAGAGTTTGGGTCAGAAGTCACATAGTAGTGAAGGGAGTTTAGGATAGCTCTTAATCAGAGAGAAAATGCTCACATGCATGCTGTTCCAAACATGTCTCTTTATTGTTTTACCTTTATTCTAATTTTCCTCTTCTATTTCTAGTTTATCCTAGATCCTTCCCCTCTAGACTAAAAACCTCTCTCTCATTTACAAGAGGCTTGGAGCAATAAAAAATTACAAGAGTTACCTCTCATTGGTCACAAGCATATTCCTAGGGTAAGTGATGAGTAGTTGAACCCTATATGATGTCAACACAAGGTTCCAAGGTTACAGGAGTAAAACTGTGACCAGACTGGGGAGTGGGCACAGTGCACAGTTGCAAACTTTGAGACACAGGTCTATTGTCAGCAGACTTGGCAAGCAAAGAATTGGCATGCTTTTCTTAGGGAGCTTTGTTTAGCAGCCTTGGTTACAGACCTGTGACTCTGACTTTGTACATAGCTGTAAGGTTTTAAACTTACAATCTATTTACAAAAAGCCTTTAGTCTAGTGTGAACTTGTTCTGAGGTAAATGTGAGCTAATTGTGTGGAGTTAGTCTGAGCAAAAGCAACAAACAGGCTTGTAAGTGTCTACAGTCCTCATGAGACAATAGATCTAATTATGAAGCATGTTCTTGTATATTTTCTACATATCAAAATTATACACATAAATGAAAAGCCATCTTCCTGACCACCCACAGGTATATGGGCCCATAAGATTGAGATACAATCGTGAGATTACATATACACATCATATGAGATTACACACTACAATGCAGGTATTGGTGAGATACCAAACTGTTTTAACAAATATAAGCAGCAGCTTCCAGAGTCAATGGTTCTCTAGGCTTTGCCTTGACAGGATTAACCTCCATGAGAAAATTATTCTTCTGGTGGGTCGACATCTGAAACCTAGTTGTCAATTGCTGTAACTCTCATGGCCTCTGACATCTGCTGATAAAAAAAGTAGGAGAGAATAAGACTTCTGAATCTTCAGACACTACAATGAGGGTGTGACTAGTGTAGACACCCTGGAAACATCCTGATGATTCTTTAAGTGACTAATTATAGAGAAAACATATAGTGGGATAATTCCAGTTCCTTATGTACACCTAAGAGAAATAAAAAAAAAGTTCAGAGGAAAAAATACACATGCATGTTTCTAGCAACATTATTCACAACAGCTAAAAATTGAAACCATTTAAAATATATTAATTGATTAATGAATAAACAAAATGTGGTTTACCCATGCAATGGAAGATTATTATTCACCCATGTTTCAACATGGAAGTTTCTGAAACTTTATACTAAATAAAAAATATCATTAGTAATGTATGGCTCTGTTTTTTATAACATGTAAAGGACAGGCAAAACTATAGAAACTGATAGTAGGATGCTGTATAAATTGAGAGGATGGAATGTAGGGTACACTTTCTCTGTGAGGTAGTAAAACTGTTCTACACTATTGTGGTGATTGTTGGAAAAGCATATCAAATTCACTGAACTATATACTTGAAAGGGTCAACTATATGTTAAATAAGCGCTAATGTTACATGAATGTTATAGTATTGCAAATACAAAAATTAAATGTGTTAGCTTTTTACCAAGACATATGGTTTTATATGTCCTCCTGTAGCCACATTAGGATGAACAAATAATATGACCTCTAACAAAAAAAGATGAAAATTAGTATGAGATGCTAACGTTTTAACTAAAAAAAAAATGGTAAATACTTGCTCGTGTAACTGAGTAGAAGTGCATACCATGACTGACTAAGATTTTAACAGATGCACATTTCCAACAGAACAATTGTTACAGTCTTACTAAACTCTTACATCCTGCCCCATTACAATTCAGATTTCTCCATGTTTTTCCCTCCCCCGTCTGCAGACTTGTAAAGATCAATCCTCAGAGTAACCATGAACATCTTTCACTGATGGTGGTTACACTCCATCATGCAAGTCCTTAAAGGACACCATGAAGCAGCACTCCATCCACATGAATTACCCTTGGAGCATTATTTAAGTAACAAGAATTTTCTGGAATTTGCATTGTTATTTTTTTTCCTCAAAACATGGCCTCCCTTAATTCCCATAACTATTACAATTTCTCCCTGCACGTGCTGTGTTTGATATGTGGCTATCACTGACTATCCCTTTTACCTCTCTGGTTCATAAATCCTCATATATGGTTCATATACATGGAGGATTCATTCTTTGACTGTTTAATGTGGTCATTCCATCTTGAGTTTTGCATTTTTCTTCTTGCATTACTGATGGTTTCATTCCTGGAATTTTTAGTTGTATTCATGACATATCTGTAATATGTATCTAGCAAACTAGGAACCGTAAAGAATTTGCCCTCTAGAAAGTTTTAAAGACCATGTAGTACAGGCTGGGTAAGTACATATTGTGGTCACTTTGTTTTCTTTTCTCATGATATACATTTTGGAATAGCTTTGTGTGTTAAGGGTAAGAAGTGTATTTAGATCTGTCACAATCTGTCTGGTTGGGTAGACCTTCTTAGCAGGTTTAGATTGCAATTCAATAAATTTGATAGATAACTGTAAAACTAGCTGATAATAGCATACTATACATGGCCTATACTTTAATTTGGTCCCTGTATCATATTAGTAATACATTGTAACATTTTCCCCAATCTTTCAACTTGCAATGCTAGAAAAAAATTCTAGAAAGTATTAAAAAAAGAGTGTTACTCATTTAAATAATTTATTTTTCAATCGGGGACATTGGTGCGATGATTAATACACTGAATTCATTTTCTCCTTTTAAGAAACCTGGAACAAACAGGCTTGTGGAGTATATATATATAATTCATTTAGGTGTTGAAGTCTGAGCCTACATTTGTATGAGAAAATTTCAAAGGAGCCATAATTAATATGTCAGTTTAGGAGGAGCAGTGGGATGCGGGGGTGGGAGTAAATGGATCTACCTGATGTTCTTGCAGTGTATGTGTGGAAGGGGGAAATTAGTCAGTGTTCAAGAAAAGACCCAGCTTTCCAATCTTCTTTCTTTGAGTTTGTGCCAAAGTAAGCAGGTATATCTGTGAGTATCTCCATCTGGAGGTGTGGAAAGTGTAGGTTACATGTGATGGGCCGCAGTACATTTTGAAAGAGGAAATCTGAAAAGCATTATCAACCAGCAAGGGCAAACTTGTTTTTACTCCCTTGCTGTTATTTTCTGCTTGACATGAAAGAATGCCGCTGAATACGTCCCTCCCTTTGCTTCTCTCTTGATTAAAGAGAATTGACAGATACCCCTTCAGCTCCCTACCTATCAATACAATGTGATACACTAAAGAGAGAAACGCCATACAAACCCGTGTGTGTCTAGAAAAACCAGATAGGTATCAGTTTTTCCTGAGGTTCTGTACCCAGCATCACTGTCACGAGTAAGAGTCTGATATTCTCATCTGGGCATGAAAGCTCTCTAGAGTTGTTCTCAGTCTGCTCTCCAAGCATTCCCAATAACATTTGGTCAGCTCTGTTCTTTTTCATGTACTTGGACCAGTAAGAACTCTCATCCCATCACTGTGACAAAACTTGTTGGAACGACCCCAGTAATAAAGTAGTACTTACATTTTTTTTTTATTTAAAATCCTGGATGATTTTAGAGTCATCGTAAGGATGAGAGGGAATGATCCTTTTTCTAGGCTTTCTGCCCAGAGATTTCTTCCCTGTTCAAAGTTATTACCGAATTCTAGAAGAGGGGAAGTCCAAGGTTTTCCAGGCGATACTATCTGTGTACTATGTTAGAAATAAGAAAGTTGTGAGTTACAGAAACTCATTGGCATTTTTATCTAT